AGCGCCAGGCAGCGGCACAAGATCGGCGAAACACGCGTGTCTAGGCTTTTAGCTAGTACCTTTGTTGTCTGTATGGTAAATAATTATATAATAATAACCACCCTGTCTCTTACAAACGGAGTTCTGTCCACAGCCTCCTGGATCGAGTCAAAACTCACTGTTCTGAGGAAGAAAGTCACGGAGCAGAAATGAGGTATCATTTCAGATTATTTTCCCAAAATGGGTACCCGCATGACTTTGCACGTCAATTCAAAGGGAAGAGCATTCCCAATGCTGAGACCGCCTAGCCATCAAAAGCGATAACCTGACGAACTCCCCAAGCATGAAACATGTATCTGACCATGTCGAAAGGCAGCGGAGAAAAACACCAGATGCAAGTAGCACACCAACCAGCAACAACCTCATGCACACAGCTTGTACACCCTAAGGACAGGATTGGCTGCCTTGTTAGGAAGAGTGTCGTCTACAAAATTCCATATGCCAATTGTGATGCCGTCTGTTGCGGTCGAACTGGGAAATCTGTCCCAACTCGTATGCACGAACATTAGCTAGCGGTGAGGGGACGAGACAGTCTATCCCAGGTGGCTATGCACAAACTGGACATTGGGCACAAAGTTTCGTGGGGGACCACGCGCATCACTGCCACCTGCTCAATACGGAAAGGTGCGAATCGCTGTAGTCAGCACACTCAGATGAGACAAGTATCAATCGGCATTTCGAGTTAAATGCCCTGTACGAATTTCTCAAGAACAAATGCAAACGACCGCGGCCAATCACGTGGGAAGGACGAAGTGCATTGGCACAAACGTCGACCAATCAGTTAATTATTTGATTGTTTTTCTACATCACCCACAGTGTGATGACGAGCTCAGGGACCAGCCTCGAAAATTTACCCAGTTAAAGTTGTATATTTTTTCAGTACATGCATGCGTGTGATAATGTGATGCCGACAATCACAAGGACAACCGGGCGGACCTTTTCGGGCTTATCAGTCGTCATCATCCATATGTGGATCACTTGAGATTCAAACCCAGGATCTCGGGTAGAACATGGGATCCGTGGCTCAGTGATAGGGTGTTGCACTCAGTGGTCAGAGATTCCGGGTCCGAATCCCAGGTGATCCCCGCCCGGGTTGGGTGTGAATGGCTGATGGTGGCTAACAAACAAGAAAGGATCATTCCGGTCTCGCTTGCTT